TGTTAAACTTTGAAACCAATAATATACAATTATTTGAAGTATTTAAAATAACATCATCATCACATCTAAAATTTCGATAACTTTCCCTTGTTTTCTATCCGCTCTACCATGTCACTCTATTTACCGTCCACTCTCCTTAACGTCGATAAACGCTCAGTATTTTAAGTGTTGTTGTATAAGATACACGCTTATTGCAAGAATTATGATCACATGGGTCCTGGAACAAGGGTCGTTTCGAAAGGAGTAATACATCAAAAAATACTTCAGATAGAAACCAAACCTACAGCATTCGCTATTCTTACATCCCATCATTCCCATCATTGTGTAACACTGTCGTAAATGATACGACAACAAACTACAATTGTATTCCAGTTTGTGGCTCGCTAAAAATGTCCATTCAAGCTCTCTAATATTAGACGAGACAATGGACAAAAAACGTAGCCGTGCGTCAAATCATGGCATGTGGTGTACGATATGCAGGTCAAGAAACCTGTTTAAACAAGCGTTGGCTAGACAAGTGGTACGATATCGCTCTTAGATTATTAAAATTTAGTGTCCCCAGAGGCGGAAATCGTTGACGTCCCACCAGCCGAAACGACATGGAACTACAACATAGTATTTGAAGAGTTATAGTGATTTCATTCTAGCTCCTGCCCACGGGTTTGCCCGCTTTAATACGATCATCTTTCAGAGTCGGCAGAAATTTTTGATATCGCTGCGATAGCATTGAAGATTAAATCGAATTAAATACAAAATAAGGATCTTATCACTCGAATTGAAAGGCGACAACAGCCCAAAAATTTGAAATTATTAGCTGACCCGGCGAACTTTGTACCGCCTATATTCATCATGGATAATGTAGGATTGTAAAGGCGAAAGAATTTTTCAAATCGGTCCAGTAATTTCGGATCCTCTTAAATAAACAATCAAATCTTTTCTCTTTATAATATTAGCGTAGATTCCTATTCCTACGTGACCGCCCCAAAATCTCTCCCGTGTGTTTGCAAACTTATTTCAATAATAAACAACTCGCCCCGGCTCGTTCGCAGGTGTATCGGTAATGTTGTTTAAAAATATCCCGCACCATTAATCATGGAACCAACTTTATTAAACCATTCCCGAGTTAACAGTTGGCTCTTGCTATGATTTTTGTATTTGACTTACTTTTTAACGCTACGGTTTTGAAAATTTTTGATTCTCACATATTTATTTAGAGTTGTGGTTAAATGGAACCGAGCAAACCGACTGGCCTGGGAGTGTAGACTAGAACCTCCAGAATTTGGTTGTAAATGGTTTACCTACGTAGCAAATACCTACACAGGTGCAAAGCTATGTTTAGATGATTTGCAATAATATCTCACCAGAACTGGAAAAAATGAAACAATCAAAATTTTTAGACTATGAAAGCTAGCAAAAACTCTTTTTATAAGAAGCTTGTGGGCTGACAATACTCGTATCTGTCGCATAGTAGTTCTGGAATGGAGATCACGTATCGGCAAACGTAGTATAGATAAAACGTCCCCTAACTCGATGGACCAATGACCTTAAGAAGATAGCTGGAAGCAGCTGTACGAAAAAAGGGAAGATCGTGCTTTGTAGCGTCTTTAGGGAAAGCTTTGGTTAATTTATTTTCGGTCAAACCTTCTGTCCTACTACTATACTTGACAAAATACCTCATCATCATCATCATCTCAGCCATAGGACGTCTACTGCTGAATATACATAGGCCTCCCCCAATGCTTTCCATGTTGCCCGGTTGGTAGCGGCCTGCGTCCAGCGCCTTCCTGCTACCTTTATGAAATCGTCGGTCCACCACTCCAGAACCTTGCTGCCCCATCGGCCGTCAGTTCTACTATGTGCCCTGCCCATTGCCACTTCAGCTTGCTAATCCGTCGGGCTATCTCAGTGACTTTAGTTCGTTTACGGATCTCCTCATTTCTGATTCGATCTCGTAAAGACCACAAAATACCTAAATAATGTATTTTTGCCTTATCTGGGAATAGAACCCAACACCCGCGGATTGCGAAAGTCCGTCACTCTAACCACTAAACCATAGAGGCGTCTATCAATTAATCTTTCAGACACTTTCGCTTCCAAATTGAAGGTTCGCCTCCCAAATAGAGTTGAACCTACCAAAAAAAACCCTCACGCCCAAGTCCGTGAAACTGCGAAATATGACATTACTGGCAACACCGTGACCAAACAATTTTATGCACTCAAAAGTTATTACACCATAGATTTCAATTAACGGGTCTAGCCTAAACTGCTGCTGTGCGATATCCATCTGTATTACTGGGGAGAGAAGTCCTTTTTGTCTTGTTCTTTAGATGGTTCAACTGTGCGGTAGAGACATAGTAGAAAATGATGTCAGTAGAATCACTTCTTGATATCTGGCTACATAAATACGTTTCGCTGCGGTGTAACTCTATCTTCAATAAAAAAAAACCTTAGATATAATGTAAAAAAAAATACCATTAAGTGCGCTGAGCATCTTCAAAAAATACTTTTTTACATATCAAATAATCTCAATACACAAAAGCAAGTTGTATGAGTACTAAACGTATAATAGACATATTACGGTTTTCGCAATCGTCGTTAAACAACGATGTTACCTAAAACATTTGACTCATCATTAAACGTGTGTAAGTTTAACTTGTTAAACCTTAATTACAGAGTACGTCATGCTTATTATTATTAAATTATCTGTTTGTGTGTATTTAAAATTTGAAAGCAATACTTGTAAGACAGACTCTAATAAAAACCATGGCTAATAAATAAATGCTGACACAAATGTCATTCTTAGACTGAACCAAATGAACCCACTGCTTCCATCTTTTTACTATGGCATGACAATTAATAAAGCTCATATTCGCTTGACAAGCCAAGGGCAAGGAATCCGTTAGGGTCTTTCTTCCTACCTGCTTGTTTCCAGTTTGGTTGGCGCGTTTTGATTAAAAATAAAAACCTGAATCTCCCGTGACACGATCTGTGGATCATTATTATTAATAATTCTGTTAATTATTGATGTGTATGAGACTCATTTGCATACTTTACACGCTTTAGGGAGATATTTGCAAGCTAATGGTTTTCGGGAATTTATCTAAGTCCCTATTAATATTATATTAATGTGAAAGTAACTCTCTGTCTGTCTGTGTCGCTTTCATGCCTAAACCACTGAACCGATAGAGATACCTACTAGTAGTTCGAGTCCCGGGAAAGACATAGGATAGTTTTAATCCAGGTTTTTGAGAGACAAAATTTCACGCGGGCCAAGCCGCAGGCGGAAAGCTAGCTTCAATATCACGCATTCGGTTTGTTTTTAACCAACTTCAAAAAGGAGGTTTTCATTTCGACACGTGTTTTCACATTTAATCATATTAAAATTGAAGTCTGATTAATACCTACTTAAGTATTATTAAGTAATATTCTAAGTATTAGGCTTCAAAACATGCTTGATTTATTTGTAACTACTCGTACCTATTTTAGTTTTAACTTAAATACCTATTTCATGTTTTCTACACGAAAAGTTTTAGCGCCGAGTCTTAACAAAAGCAATAAAAATATATTCATACAATAAATTATGAATAAATTGATTGTAATTCCGAATGTCCGCGATATTTATTTTGTAATTGGGCCATTTAAAGAATTCTGTTAAGTTTTAAACTGCCTACAGCCATCGTTGACAGGCGAATGTTTCTGTGAATTGAACCCTCTGGCTTTCAAAATAAGGTTCAATATTAGTAAACTTATCCCGCACATGTTTAACGATGTCTGATACAGATCATATCATAGTATACTATAATTCGTTGTCGGTTTTTTGCTGCTCATGAAAACGTAATCGAGTGCGTAATAAAATTAATTCATAATAAACACTGCAGTTTATGGTCGGTACAGATTTTTCTTGACGTTTTTTACGATGTATGATTTATAAAATGCACGTAAAGTATTATTTTATTTGTACCTAAGCTGCATAAGATGGTATGGAACATGATTCATCAAACCTTTTCTCTAATTATTACCGGACAGTATTGGGAACGTGCGAAGTGGGTGGAAGGGGTAAAGAAAACGATCGCTGCGTTCGTCGCGGCACAAATGTGTAACATTATGGGCAAGGGAAGCAAACAAACTTGTCTTGTCATTGTCAATGTTGTTTTGATTTTAATGTGATTGTGTTAATTTATTCAATTGTATTGATGATATTGTACAGTCGCAGAATGAAAAGGTTCGTCACCTTAGTGTCGGTTTTCGCTTGCACTAGGTACTGTAAGAGTCAAACCTGCCAACATAATAGTGCAAGAAACAGAGCTGCTAACATTTAAATAAATATGACGTTTGGTAACGAATAAGGTTTTGCTTGTTTATTTTTCTATTCCATCTGTGCATGTTACAAAATGTAGTTTTTTTTTTATATAGAAATAACAATGGCAGGTTGAACCAACAAGAAGGTTTTATTTATTTTATCAATCATAATAATCTTCTTGACAAGATAAATCGACTTTGATCTGAATAATTTTGAACTTTACTGACGAACAGTTAAAGATTATTTTCTCTAACTCGAGATTATTCTGTAACATAGTTTCAAAAGGTAATATGTGCTCGCGATTCGTTGAAGGAATCAATTTGAAAACTGACGAACCTTTTCATTCCGCGACTGNTTCTCAATACACTTTCTTCTTCAGGGTATGCTTATTCTAATGAATACATTATATCTTCTAACTTAGAAATAAATTTGTTGTAATATTGGTTCAAAGTTGTGCCTTCGCGAGTTACCTGGAAATCGGGCTTTCGAAATTCGCTGTTTTCGTAAGCAAAAATCCAATTTGAACGAGATTTTGTCAATAGACATTCCGTAAAAACGTATGATAATTACGATGATATAAGTCAAAAGAAGCTATAACTATAAATTATATGACTAAAATCATTTCGAAATCTGGCAAATTCTCGATTTCTGCATGAAAAATGTGACAAGTATGACGAAATGGGTCTTTATTTATCCAACGTCAGAGTCTATGACGCTGTGTCCCACGTGCCGCTATTCATGCGTATACGCATTTAAAAATAGTACTTTTCTCACGTCTAGACCGCGCTCGTCGATTTCTAAGTGAAAATCATTGGAAATATTTGAAAATGCGTGAAATAGTGCATTTACAGGCTGGTCAGTGCGGTAACCAAATAGGTTCTAAGGTATTTATACTTTTTCGATGATTGCGTTTTGTTATCAATTAAAAATGATGTTACGCTATTTTTGTTCGACGCGCTCTAATTACGGTTTAAGAAGAGGGATCCATACTCTCTAATCTGTGGAGGGATCGTTAGCGGTTATGAAGATTTCAATGTGTTTATAAACAATGATTTAATATTTACATGCATAAAACAAGTAGTTAATATGTTGCATAATAATGTTTATTTACTTACCTACTCATAAAACTAAAAAAATATACTTATTGTTATCATTATCTCACACTTATAAAACTTCAATTCAAAACATTATAAACTTTTAAATTTAGGTTTGAACTACCTAATTATAAAATGTGTTTTAAATAATAAAAAAAAAATATTTTATAAAAAATACCTAGAATTAATGTGAAATAATCATGTGCATCTATTAAGTAACCATCTAGCTATAGATTTGATTATCAGTTTCGTTCAGTGATTCTGGGTTCGATTCCCGGGCGGAATAAGGTTTTCTGGAAATTATTGACACTGATTAAGCTCTGGATTTAATACGTGAACGAATTCAAAATAATTTGAAAGCCCTTTTGCACTGCTAAGCTACTTCAGATCCCCACCCAATAGATCGCGTTGTATAAAATGTCCAATAATATTTATATGTATTTACTGACCATTTCTGGCAGTTCTGGGAGATAATATCGGACGAGCACGGCATCGACCCGACCGGCCACTATAAGGGCGACAGCGACCTGCAGCTAGAGCGTATCCAGGTGTACTACAACGAGGCCAATGACGGTAAGCACGGGACTATTCCCACCTCTCGTTCCCACTTCTGCAACTCCTGTGTAGCCGGGATCTACAGCTTGGCCGCCAATAACCCAACCAGTGAAGCTCAAGTTTGTCCCGGGGAAAGTTAACCTGTCATTGGACCCGATTTGACGGTGAGCACGTCGTATCTTAGAGCCACAGCACACATGTCTTTTAGCACCTGTGATCGGCGATTTATTAGCTTTTTAGAAGCTGACCACACGTTCCACACCGCAAAAATACCAAGCGCGGCGATTGAGTCGCTTTTCGGAAGTTTGACGCAGCGACTGCAGTCGCTAAAACGCATCGCGATGCTGCATCAATATGGTCGCAAACAAATCGACGATGCTAAAAGTAACATGTGTTTTGTGGCGCTAGAGACTGTCGCATCCAAAGACTACTATTGTATACTGGTCGCATCTGAGATAATATTGGACGAGCACGGCATCGACCCGACCGGCCACTACAAGGGAGACAGCGACCTGCAGCTAGAGCGTATCCAGGTGTACTACAACGAGGCCAATGACGGTAAGCACGGGACTATTCCCACCTCTCGTTCCCACTTCTGCAACTCCTGTGTAGCCGGGATCTACAGCTTGGCCGCCAATAACCCAACCAGTGAAGCTCAAGTTTGTCCCGGGGAAAGTTAACCTGTCATTGGACCCGATTTGACGGTGAGCACGTCGTATCTTAGAGCCACAGCACACATGTCTTTTAGCACCTGTGATCGGCGATTTATTAGCTTTTTAGAAGCTGACCACACGTTCCACACCGCAAAAATACCAAGCGCGGCGATTGAGTCGCTTTTCGGAAGTTTGACGCAGCGACTGCAGTCGCTAAAACGCATCGCGATGCTGCATCAATATGGTCGCAAACAAATCGACGATGCTAAAAGTAACATGTGTTCTGTGGCGCTAGAGACTGTCGCATCCAAAGACTACTATTGTATACTGGTCGAATCTGAGAGATAATATCGGACGAGCACGGCATCGACCCGACCGGCCACTATAAGGGCGACAGCGACCTGCAGCTAGAGCGTATCCAGGTGTACTACAATGAGGCCAATGACGGTAAGAACGTCACTTCTTAAGCCTTGATCACACGTATCGAGTAAACGGGCGAGACAGTACAATGTTTACTCGGTCGAGACAGTTGGGTTAGCGAGTCACATACTCGAGCGCTCGGCCGAGCACTCGGTGTAATGTTCATACACACCGAGTACTCGTCCGAGAGCACTGTCTCGCCCGTTTGCTCGGTACGTGTGATCAAGGCTTTAGAGCCACAACACACATGCTTCTTTCAGCATCGGCGATCGGCGATTGCCGCTTTTTAGAAGCTGAAAGCAGCGACCACATATTCCACACCGCATACTCAAAAACCTCGCCTCGGTAAATGAAGCGATTCTATTGGTTCTTTACAAACACATCCCTCGCTACGAATCCTCGCACATCTCTGGTGGAAAAGCAGCCTAATGGTCGTTTTCACCATCAATCTTAGAGAGAGTCACAACACACATGCTTCTTTTAGCATCAGCGATCGGCGATTGCCGCTTCATAGAAGCTGAAAGCAGCGACCACATATTCCACACCGCATACTCAAAAACCTCGCCTCGGTAAATGAAGCGATTCTATTGGTTCTTTACAAACACATCCCTCGCTACGCATCCTCGCACATCTCTGGTGGAAAAGCAGCCTAATGGTCGTTTTCACCATCAATCTTAGAGAGAGCCACAACACACATGCTTCTTTTAGCATCAGCGATCGGCGATTGCCGCTTTTTAGAAGCTGAAAGCAGCGACCACATATTCCACACCGCATACTCAAAAACCTCGCCTCGGTAAATGAAGCGATTCTATTGGTTCTTTACAAACACATCCTTCGCTACGCATCCTTGCACACCTCTGGTGGAAAAGCAGACTAAGTAGCTTTTCGGAAGCTTGACAGCGATAGCAGTCGATAAAACGCGTCCGAAGTCACTAAATCGCGTTGCTGCATATGCGATGCATGTTTTCTGTGGCGCTAGAGACTGTCGCATCTGAGAGATAATATCGGACGAGCACGGCATCGACCTGACTGGCGTACAGTCGGTACAGTACAGCCCTCTTATTATAAACAAGTTACAAAACGTGACGATTTCATTTCCAAATTGCTTCAAGGAGCGAAGTAGAACTCCATACAGAAGAACACCAGAGCAAAGACCTTTCAAATTCGAAATTAAGTACAACTTTCACGTTTTGTACCTTATTGTTTAGGGGGGCAAATCACTTCCTTGAGATAGCCCTTCCAATCATCAGATTCATCAATCAAACTCTCCTGCAGTGGACATTAGGTATTTAGGTATTAGGTGATAGTTCATCTACTATCTACTAATACCTAGTATCCACTGCAGGAGACTTCTATAAAAGAACATCTGCCCGCGTCGAATCGTCCGAATCTGAACGGCAAATCATAGGATGTAGTTCACCTTTATCTGCCATCCTGCAGTGGAGACTAAATGTCGTAAAGATGATGATTCAATTTCTATGTTATTTTCCAAGGTAAACGCTTCGTCCCGCGCGCTGTGCTGGTGGACCTGGAGCCGGGAACAATGGACGCCATCCGGTCGTCCGGGTACGGCCAGCTGTTCCGGCCGGACAACTACGTGTTCGGACAGAGCGGCGCTGGTAAGTCATACTAAAGTACGGCCAACGAGAAGCGATACCAAATGTAAACAAACCCAATGTCATGGGCGAACCCATCTGACTTTGACATTTATTTTGGCGGGAGAACGAGATATTACGACAAATACACAAGATGGGAAGAGACAGAATATATTGTCAACTCGACAGTCGTATCGACCATTTGTATCGCTGCTGTTGACCGTACTTTACAGTCTACAACCCGAGTTAACTGCGCACCTGGCAGCCGTGACGTCATATCGACGCTCAGAGCCCCGATTACGGTAATTTTTAACGTCTCCAATCCAGCCAGACGCGCTTCATCGAATCTGCGATACGATTGGTCAAAACATAAAAAAAAACAGCGCACGTCAGCTGAGTCAGCCCACTGGGCCCCGATTGCGCTGACCTTTACCGCGATACCGAACTGCACATCAGCTGGAATGGAATTGTAGCGTGACTGGAGTGTAGACTGGAGATGAAATGCGAATGAATTGGAGACATTAAAAATTAGCACAATCGGGGCCCTGGTATGGACGGGCGAATGCGAGAAGCTTGCTTGTTTGTAGAGGGCGGTAGAGTCGCGTTCCAGCGAGGTACGCAGTTAGCTCGATTGGGTTGTCTGTATCATGATGAGTAGAGGCTTATTTCAAAAAGATGAAAATGATTTCAATTTCACCCTGTATTTTAAGTTTTAGCGCGAGCCTGTTCAGTGTTGGGGTCTTCTCAGGGTTTTTAAAAGACGACGACGCAACGCGACACAGGAGTGTTTTCGGGCAAAGAAAAGAATTAAACACATTTCTACTTATTATCAAACATTTAATTTAATATTTTTTTGTCTTAATTCGACATTTTGGTCACCACAATATAGGAAGAAAAAAGATATTTATTTACATAAACATAGGCAAAACAGTAGGAAATACATCTATACCATAGGTCTATCTGCTCGCTGTGTGAGTTTAGATAGATCAAAAGTCGGATTGTACAGCGCCCCTAGCGGAAACTTTGAAGAACTAACATTTTCATATACCTACTACATATTTTTTAACGCGCTCACTGTGAGGAAGTTTAATGTAAACTCACACTAAGCCCTCTGTTCCACATGTTCATATTTTGCGTGCATGTGGGTGTTACAGTCTTACAGTAACCCTTGTTCGCCCTAGTCGATTAATTAGTCAAGTCACTTACTTTTAAAATATAATCCGTGTCTTCGGCTGGTGACAGTTGACCGTCGTCAATATGTGAGGAGCTTTGCATCGACGTGCTCGGGGAAGGCTGATGCAAATAGTGAAAAGGGTACGGTTGCTGATTTGACCACTCGTTACGGCGACTTTTTATATCTTGTATTAAACTTATGACACCTGCTTGGAATTGGAGTACTTGATCCTCGTCTAGTAACGCTAGTGAGGGTAGTAAGCTTTTGAAAAAGTACAAATTGCGATCTTCATTTGACGAATTTTGAGTTTTCACCTGATTATTAATTGGTATCGTTTTGTGACTGATATTTTGGTTTGGTTCAAGTCTTTTCTTAAATCTTTTCGCGAGTTTTAGGGGATTTTCTTGTGCTGGTCTTTTTTCACCAACAGATGGTTCAGGTACTTCAGCATCAGGCTCAATTTTAATTTCAATATTAGACATTTCTAGCTGAACGCTCTCCCTTGTAGCGTCGTGTGATCCAGCTGGTGCAACGTTGTGTGATACAGCCGGTGCAGTGTCGTGTGTTCTAGCCAGTACACCGTCGTGTGTTCTGTTCAGTGCATTGTCGTGTATTTCAGGCAAGTCTAAAACTTTCTTTAAAAACAACAACTGGTTGTGGTAACAGTATTTTTTAACATTCACCGAAGCAGACAAAGATTTTAAACTCCTAGTCCAGCTGTCTCGTATTTGGTTCCATTTCTTAACGACTGCCTTTACTGAAAATGAAATAAATATTTATTTAATACAACTCAAAAACCCATAACTTGATGATGATCGATCACAAGCAACAGTGGTTTTTGACTGATAACCTATGGGTTAAAATAATGAGACATGGCGAAATCGTGGTTCCCAAAGGCAAGTAATGAATAAAAAAAATGAATATGACACAAATGTTTGACATTTATGACGTTTGAGCGATATGCGTTTGACCACAGATATGTAGAGTCAGTAGAGTCACAGATATGGATTAGAGTAGATACAGCAAGTTGCTCGTCAAAGCGTGCCATTCCGATATGTCCGAATGGACATACATGGTCGAGTGATGTTCNTGTTGTTAATGTAACATATTAAAGCAGCAACATGTTTGCACTTGCCGCTCTGGTTATAAACGCAGCTGCATTTTACTCCTGTGACAACCCTAGCATGATCGATCTGTAATAAATGCAATGAATATTAATTTTACAACTTTCTTTAGTCATATTTTTAGGTTAGGAGATTACTTACGTTTAAACTTGTTTTATAGGGTGTCGAGGTCACCGATGTTTGACGAATGATGGTGGCTCAATAAATAACTATTGCCATTAGTTCTCAGCTCTTCTACATTCCTCACATGCTCTGCTAGCACCAATTTTTTTCCTTTTAGCTGAGTTTGGGGTTGGAAACTTATTGTGTGTTTTACACACTCAAAACCAGTTTTTATAATGACGTCCATTTCTCCATAAACAGTTTTTATCAAATTTCATTCAACGTACCATTTATTGTCTTTTAAAGTACATTTTATTTACTCTAATCAATAAAAATAAGAAAGCTGTTGTTATTTATTTTTTGACATATGCCCCTTAAAGTTTCGTTGGCAGATGGCGCTAATGTCGTGCACGTTCCCAATAATAAAAAAGTTTGTAGGTATGTTGAAACGAAAAACAGTTTTATCCCAAAAACGGTTTTACTTGGTACTGGCAAGTTGTAAGAGTCATTGCAAAGCCATTAAATAAAAACGAAATAAATAATACAAAAGAACAATATTTCCGAAATTCGAATGCGTTCAATTTTGAATATCGAACGCCCACGTCAACGTGTCAGCCGATACAATAACACATTGAATCGAATCAGCAGGATATTGAATCGAAATTCGAATGTTTTATGGTGATGCGGACGTTGGTTATCGGAGGGCTTATGTTTATACTAACCAGATAACGGCTTTCTGGATAACTTAAGCAAAAAACCGAATTTTGATAACGTTTATCATTATTTAGAGAAATAGGGTTACGCTATGCCTTGGGCCTTTTTAAGTGAATAGGTTTTTACAGTTGACAGCACATCAGGCTATATTGTTTTGTTGAAAATAGCACCTACCTATAACAAACACATAAGATTACACATTTGTAACTTCACATTGATACTCGTTGAGGGATAATCCCAATTGCAAAAGTACTCAAAGTCAACAGGTTTCAATAACATTTGAGATTGCCGAAAAATGGTTGACTATGTGTTGAACAATAAACATTTTATCTTAATGGTAGCTAAAAACTGTATCATTGTACTTCATAAAAAATACTGGCCATTAGTCTCCATCGCCAATTTAGATAATCTTTTTTAAATTCAGTTTGAACTTGGAAGTCTTAAAACGATCGGCGCGCCAAAAAGCACAGACTACATACAGCTTAACTACCTTAGCTAGATCTTATTCAGTTATAATACGTGCTATTTCACAACAAAAAAGTACAGGTCAACTGTACCTCTTTCACTTTTGTTTTCTTTTTTGCACAGATTCACAAACCCAACCGGGAACGTTTCCAACCGACAGTTTGTTGGATTGGACAACGGCATAACGTTATCGGTTTTGAACCACGCATTCTAATGGCCGACCAACCTTTTTCTAAATACCTGCCAGTTTTGAGACCCGATAGTTCTGATGCCCCCCGAATAAAGCATAGAAACCATGGCACTGGATGCACATGGACAAAACGAAACCGTTTCAGTTCAAAGTCAAAGTCAAAATTTCTTTATTTTCATAGACTATTTAAATAGTACTTACCTACAGTTACAAATCGTCAAACGTTTCGCTCTTAAGGAGCCTCTACCTACATGTCTCATATTCTTTTTAGTTGAGAGCTCGATTTTCTAAGTCTAGATTGTTGACAAGTCTACATTTGTCTACCTTGGACAAACGATTCACCTAGGTAGGTCCAATTTCGAGAAAAAGGTCAATCGTCAAATCCAACTGGGCTGGTAAACACGTCTTTTTGTCCAAAATACCTCAGTGCCCAAAGACGAAAGTCTACAATCAGTGTGTTACCAGTGACGACATATGGTTCCGAAACGCGTCCTCTCACTATTATAGGCCTTATAAAGAAGCTCAAAGTTGCACAGCGTGCTATGGAGAGGGCTATGCTCGGTGTTTCTTTACGAGATCGAATCAGAAATGAGGAGATTCGTAAACGAACTAAAGTCGCTGTAGCAGCCCAACGGATTAGCGTTCCAGAACCCGCTAAATTTAAAAAAAAAAGGTTTTGTAACAGACAAGAATAAGCAAATCCTTAATATTACTTCTATGCTTTCTTTCATCTCATGCCTTTTTTCGACGTAGGGGGCGGTTTTTACCACAGATAAGTATTCGATACTTCTGTTTTTGGGGTAATCTTAATTATACTTTACCTGTTTTAGAGATCGTGACTCCGATAATTAACTATTTTATTTTGGGACTTTTTGAGAAACTTTCTTAAACATTGTTCAGATGGCGATAAAATTCTTAAGGTTGAATATAGTCGTACTAATTTCGTTTTAAACTAATTTGAGAATGTTAATGAATGTTAATTTATAATTAGGGATGAATTAATTTGTAAAATTGTGTTGACATACTACATTTTCATTTCGTGTATTAAAATTTAAAAACATGCCTGTACATAAAATTCTATTGTAGGTAATACTTACCTATGTAATTAATTAATTTCTTTCTTTCTAATTAATGAGTGTATCATAATTAAGTTACTCTGCATTTAACTGTCATCAAAATCAAACTCATTTCTTTGAATAGTTATTTACAAAGAAACATTTTATATAGGTACGAATAAATGTTATAAATACTTTCAGGCGTTGTATGTAGGTCCTGTACAATATTGAATGAAACCCTAAGAATCATGAAAGGAAAGTCGTACAAATTCGCCTTCCAATTTTAATTAACATTTTGTGAACTACATTAATTATTAATACGTATAACTAATTAGTTGACAACCTTGACAGCAGTTCACCAAACCATCTTGAAAACTACAGGTGACTTTTAAATCGTTGGCATCCTTTTAAACTAAGACTACTCATGGTAGGTACATGGTACATTCCCTGAATATGAGACAAATCGAATGAGTTAAAATTTCAAAAATTAAAACTTGTACAGATGACAGCACATCAAACTTAACACTGTGGCATCTTATTTCGATGTAGTAGGTGTTATTCTGCAACAAAAATGTATAAGTAGTCTGATGTTGTTAACTGTACAATCGTTTTGAACTCTTTTTAAGGGTACACTAATACAAATAAATAGTACAATTATGACAAAAAAAAACTCATTGGATTTTTCTCATATTCAGGGAATGTACTATGAGTAGTCTTAATTTAAAAGGATGCCAACGATTTCAATTTCACCCTGTATATTCTCTCATATTAACCATATTGCCAATATTGCCATCAAACTACTAATAAACTGAAAGTCCCTGAAATTACGATAATTTGTGATGTTCCCAATTTTGTGGAAAATTATATTCACACGTGTTCGGATTTTAAAGTAAACTAGTTTTTCCGAACAATATTCAAGATTGGTTCAATGATGTATTCATTAATGTGTTTTTAATAATTGTCACCACCATCATTAGATCATTTTAGTCTCTATTGCAGTAGCACGACCCTCTTAATTCACTTGAGACATTTGGTCATTTTTAAATACTAATTCGTAAAGAAGCTTTTACCAAAGAATCTATTTTGATATGTCACACACAATTATTCTTCTTGTAGTTAACTACTTAAGTGCATAAATAATGCATTTTCATATCTCCAGCTTGTGAAATGATGGACTCTACATTCTAATATTTATTCCATATTGCGCACCACCTTCCAAATCGCTTTGCGAAAAACGTTGCCTTAGTCTTCATCTAAGATTCAATCTAACTGCATACCAAATTAATCCAATAATTACTTTTCGATTTTAACAATTCTTGTAATTCATTAATTAAAACTTTATAAATTGTTTCTTTGTCGAAAGTTATTCGGAATAAAGTCCATTGAACTAATGAAAACTTGTCTCGCGTTTCGGTAAGTGCATAAATGGCATGCAACGCCGAACTCTCGGCATAATAGTAACTTAAGATTGTAAACTCTGGCCATCGAACACCAGGCGAGTTTACCTGTTTTTTTATTCTAAAGCCGAAACGAAAGGGACGCAAGATTGAGTTCCGAGCGTGTGGAGATTCCTACCTATGGAAACGGAACGACCAAGACTTGGGGTGACGACGCCAACAATGCACAACCTATCTGGTTCTAATAACCGGCGGAGTTGTGTAACCCACGCGGAGTGTACGCCGGCTAAGTGGGATAGGCCTCCGCGAATAGGTAGTGTAATACGGCAAGCGCGCGCGGACTGGCAACGTGCGCCGCGCATTCTTCACCAATCCCAAGCAACTTCACGCCAGTTGCCCCCCGGCCGCGTGCGAAGACAGACGCACGCTCGACGCTCCCCCGAAACTATCGTCAAAATAACTGTTAAACAATTTAAAGTGTTACAAATCGATTCGCACCGCGAAATTTGACAGTGTAAAAGTGATGACAAGTGACGCGTGCCCACCAACACTCGCCGAACGATGACCGAAACTTTGGAGAAAAAAAGTTGGAAATGCAATCGGCCTCACCAAAAAAATATATTGTGCTCGTAATGTAGTGATGTACCGATGGGATCCCAGTGCGACCGAAATCTTGTAGCTAGTGATGTGTACTGTGATATAAAAAATCGACAATCAAGTAGATGATTGCCGTTCGTGATAATATTAGTTTATTAGTTACCAAAGATTCCTGATGATCTTGTACATTAGTTTGTGTTTCATATTGGTAGTTTTAGGTGAGTACCGTTGTAATAGTTTACACACTATAATTACACGTTATCGTAAGATTTATTGGACCGGCCCGGGCCTCATTTGTGTTCTGAGTAATTACAGTTATAGGTCTTAGTGCACCGATAAATTGGTGAGTGATGCAAGAAATGGGAACGCTAAATTATTAGTCAATAAATCTTGATTGGAGATGAGGATAATTAAATTTATGAATGTTCATAACCACCTACTAACGCGATGCTTAGAGGCGAAGTCATTAAAATTTAATAGAAAAACTAATTTGAAAGCATTTTTAATTCAAAACGAGATTGGGATTATGATAGCAAAGCGAAATAACTCACGCTCGTCTTCAGTCGGAATCGTTAGAAAACGTTTAAAAAGAGATATTCAACGTATAATTTGGGCTCTACAATTAGTCATCTAGTAAAAAATGACATTGAAAAAACTGTCACCGATCAGTGGGACGTAAAAAAGATAATTCCTCTGCCACCCCTATAATAAGGGTTCAGTAAAAAAGCCCTTGCCATGAAATTCGAATTAATCGGCACATTTAAACTACCGTTAGAAATACACAAATGTGCCACAAGACATGAGCATTTTGAAGAGTGAAAGTTGAATGCAATTAATATTACAAAAGATAAGAAATTAACGGCATTTGAAAATAAAGAAGTACGCTTTGATTGACGACTCTTTTTCGTTTGACCCGAATTAATATATTGCAGAGAGCATTACAAAAAGACATCTACAGATCTTATAGAATCAGATGTAGAGAAAACAAAAACAAATCTATAATAATTAGAAATGCATTAGGTATTCGTAACGTCAGAAACAGAAATCTCATTTCCACGTGCATTAACCTTTTAAGGAGTGAAAAATGCGCTGAAAATTTTTATCCTCCCTAAATCCACCCGAGGACGTGCGAGCTATAATATACGGCAGACCGAATCGCAAGGGGGATATATACTTTTAACATAGTGCCAGTCAGAAACGTAAATTTCATTAAAACTAGATTTCTAGCTCTGAGCGAACTGACTTCTTGGAAAACTACTGCTCTTGTTGATACATACATGTAAGTTATATTCCTTGGAAGACTTCATTTAAATGTGAATGACATAGAGCAAAACTTACTGAAAAGGTTTGGAATTGGAATTATATTAAAAGAAGTTGCAAAAACGAGAACTTCAAATATTAAAAGTCCCGTTAACGTCCAAGTTGAGAAACAAATTCATCTAATTGACAGTCTCCGATGAAATGCTCTGAATCACTTTAAGAACTTCAATATCTTCCACTTCAAAAGAACGGTGCATCAGTTTACTCTATTACCTGTTTCTGAACTAGAAAAATCAAATTAAACTTTACCTTCGCGAAGAAGTCCAAACCATAAAGGCACTTCGTATCATAAACTAACCGGGAAACATTGTGGAGTAACTTTACAGCATACGAAGTATATCTTCATACTTCAGATAACAAAAATATGTGTTCACCCTGGTCTAGCTAATAGCAAAAATCCGGCTCGAAGGGCCATTAGCTTGGAACCAAACAAAACTAATTTACGATATCGAATCAATTAAGTATAAATTACACGTTGAGCTGCGAGTCTCGTGTGTAATTCAATTATGAGAAAAAAGGTGTGAGGCTCATAAAAACGATTACCATTAATAAAGGAATCTCACGGAATAATAATACAAAAGCCTCAGGTTCAGATGAAGCGTTGTCTGATTTTTCGTATTCCTCATTGAAATTATTCTTGTCGGACGGACGAAAATAAACGGTTGATCGCATATTTAATACTGCATAAATCAAAGATACTCTAAAACATTCAGTGAATATAAGATGAGACAATTCACAGTTATTTATTTACGCTATCAAATCTTGGCCTGCGGTCAGAAGCGATGTTGCATCTTAGCTTCGCGAACGCCTAGCGCCATCTCTCGGCGAGTAGACGAACTAAAGTCGTAAATGTTTTAACACTTCGTTTTATTGCTGTGTACTAGACAGATTGATGGCCGAATTAGATGAAATAATTCATTATCGACTCGTAAACTTCTAAAAAGTAAAGGGATTAGTTTATAGAAAGTTAGTTAATTTGATTGACTTATAGAAAGTTAAATAAATAAGTACGAGTAGGTAGTTGTTATTTGTCGTGAATGAATCCGATTGATATTTTATTTTGTTTAAAAAATATTTACAAGTTGGTGACATCTTTTTGCTAAACTGCATGCAAAAATATAATATCTGTTATAACGGAAATTCGTGTATCATTAAAGACTTAATGGATTTTATTCATCGCCTGAAGCAAAATTAATTTTAACCCATTTCAGTTTTGTATCAAGATTTTTTAAATCAATTATAAAGTCACTTTCCAAAAAGGTGCTCTTTCATTTCACCTTTCTCTTGAATATTTCCTAAAAATATCTGACATTTTTGTTTCTGTAATCGGAACAACAGAAAATACGGAGGTTGGTCTTCAAAAATAACTTATCCTATACGTAGTTTAAGAAACTCATGGGTTTTTGGGTTATTTATATACCTCGTTACAAACGAACACGAGCGGTGGCGATCGTGTTGCAAGTGGTATTTATCCTAAATCTAGTTAAATGTGACTGGCGCGCCGTCAATTAGTACGTAGTTCGATTTAATATGGCCGTGCATCTGGTAGGGTTGCCAGTGATAAGTATAATTTATTGAAGAGAAGAAGAGAATGTTTATATATACAAATAATAATAAATACTCTTTATTGTACACCAAAGAACAGAACTGAAAGAAAAGGAACACACAAGGTACAACTAGGCGGTCTTATTAAACATTATAATAAACAAAAAAGCGTTTGTTCGTTTTAGCCAAATGACGTCCACTGTTGGACTAAACAAAACATAAATATAATTTACAAAAGTATTACTATTATTCGTTGTTTAGTTATTAGGAAACCCCAAAATGCAATAATTTGCATTATAACTTATTTTTTGTTTGAAACCAAAAATTATTGTTTGTTTTTGTAAAAGCGGTTGGGGACTCTGAATCGGTTAAAGTATGGACCCTTTTTGATATTGATACTTTATCGTTGACAAATAGAAGCCAGAACACGTGGTATTTATTGAACGATTAGATTATTGACGTAGAATTATGATTAAAAAAAATAGTGGCATATTATAAGGTTTTAATGTAGACTGAAACTTTATAAAATTAGTTTATTACGCTTATTGTGTAGAATAGTAGAATTATATTTTGAGTTGCGTACATGAGACTAAAAATTATAAAATATGTAAATGTTTATTCCTCACTATAAGAAAGTGTAATCAAGTATTTACTGAAGTAAACGAGCTTTGATTGATGAGTCAAAATCCAGACTTAGGGTGAGCGATTATTAAAAACTAATTATAAACAAAACCACAGAACTTGCGTGTATCATCCATCTATCACGTCGCACACATAGTTGGCGTTATAAATTAGGCTAGTTCAAAACATCTGCCGGATTGCTGCCTAAATGCTTTAAAATCTGTTTTTAATCAACTTTCTTTGTGTGATTATTAAAAATTAATATTTCCGTAAGTAGTTTAATCTAAAGGGTGTTAGTATAATCCATGTTCATATCGATTAGTTTTAAGTATTTTTAATTATGCAAATCGTTGATTGTTAGTACTATAAAATTATAATTTAGATCTATCGCGAAAATCTCCAGTTTAATTTTTGCATTAATATTTCCTATTATACTCTTTCTCTCGCGTTTTAAATTAACAAGCTCTCAAAATGGAGATATTATTATCATCCGATAAAATTTCTAAATCTATTAAAAGATGGATCAGAAAAAGTTAAAGAAAAAATTAATTGACATTATCACGCAGATTATCTACAGCTTAACAAAACTTTTTATTACGATACGGAGTATAACAAAACTTTTTATTACGATACGGAGTATAATAAAATTATGTTTTTGTATTATACTAGCGACCCGCCCCAGCTTCGCTCTTTTCGCATTCCTCTTGAATTACTCTATCTATTAAAAAATCGCATCAAAATCCGTGGCGTAGTTTTAAAGATTTTAGCATATAGGGACAGACAGACAGCGAAGCGACTCTTTTATTTTAAAGAAGTTAAAGCAGTAAATCCAGCATGTTATTATTACGACGTTTTTCGACAGGTTAAACCGTCGTATCTTACCTAACACCAAACGTCGTATGTCAACTATCGCATCGTCTTGACGTAAGATTAGTGTTCCTATGTCAGACAGCAGACACCAATGTAGCGAGTTGTACAAGTCTAATCCTCGAAGTGGGATCGTCAAATCACGTCCAGGATTAACTGCTTCAACTACGGGAATTTGGGGAAACGCGGGAACGGTGGGCGTAACTTTTATTGGACTAGTTTTGGTAAACAATACCCTGTTATTAGTTGGAAAGGCATAAGTAGTTTGGTAGGATTAATTTATTAATATAATATTGTAGACGATTTAAAAATAAGAAATCAAATATGTAAAATAATCTTTATACATCTCGGAGGTGTAATAAGGTGAAATGAATGCTTTATTCGTAAAGATAAGTAAAATATAAAAGTGACATCACAATCAATGAAATGAAAACACGGAGATAACTTTCTGTTTCTAACGTAATTTCATACTAGTCTTTAAGATTAAATTAAAGAATAATAATAGGTAATCCATAACCTAATTATAATGACTATCAAAGTTAAGACTTAGAGAATCAACTTAGTGTGTTTAGTCTCTTGAACTTTTAAACCGATTTTTTTCATTGAAAAAAATAGATTTAACGACAATTGACAGCCCTAGTAAGCCCACATATACATTGACTGGCACAACATAATTTTCCTAGCAAGCTAATTAATGTTATTTCCAACTATGCTCTCGTCTAACTAATCAATTAGTCATTATTGTGGTTTTTATTTATATCAAGATCTGAAGATCTGATAACTGATTTTATTGCTTTGAAAGTCGTAATTTATGTTTTTGCAGCGACTCACTTCAAGGTATTGAGTTACGATTTAAGATCGTATC